TCTGACTATTTAACTTGGTCAGTTCCTTCATTTGGATATTTAATAATTATATTATTTTTCCACTCTGATATTTTAGTAACAGTATCAACAATATGCTGTTGATATTTCACTTGACTTTGTAAAGACAATTATACTCATCCTTCCCAGGAAGTCTCATTTTGACTGTTTTGTATGTCTTGATGTCATTTGTTTCTCCTCTAATTAAATCAATACTTTTGTTCTAGTAGTAAGCACCTAGGCTTGGGAAATCTTTTATTAATTATTTTTACAACAGCAAGGAAAATGTGTAAAATAAATTAAAATCCAGAATTAATTAAAGTTACACTTTATATTATATAACATAATAGGTCTTATATATATGGATAAAGAAATGAAAAATTAATGTGATTAATGCAAAAAAATTGAATTTATAAAGATTTACTAGAGACATCAAAAGAAGTTAAGAACATCCTGGTTTCTCTGATTACAAGGTCATAACTGAACTACAATTGTGTTCTTAGTAAATATTCAATTTCCCAACAGCCTTCAGCTAGAATATTATCTCCTTGGTATTCCCAATATAGGGAATGCATTAATATTCTATTGGTTTGAGCTCATGGATCTGCCTTCACAATCCTAATAAGAATAGACTAAGTACACAGTTTTGTTTGGGACTATAAGTTCCTTTGCTTGAAAACATCAGAGCCAAATACACCACTGTTTTTCTCCACAGATGATTAGTTAGCATAAAGAACCCAAAATTCATTAGCTGCCAAGTCATTGGAAATAATGTCTCTGGATGAAAACACAGATCATTTGGAAGATTTCTTTATACATATTTATTTTTTCTTATTTTAAATATTTAATTTCAGGTAAAACAGACAAAACTTTCTCAATTGTCCAACCTTTTCTTGAGCAATGACTTTGAGTTTTTTCAGTTCATTCATTGTTAAATATGAATAACTTAGTGTTTTATGGAGTACTTGAGTCAATTGTTTCAGTATGACAAGGGGCTTGTTACCCTAGAAAACTTTTTAAAGGAGACACAGCTCTTTAATATATATATATTTTTTTCTTATTTTACATATCAATCCCAGTTCCCTCTCCCTCCTTTCCTCCCTCCCCTGCCCCTGAACACCTACTGTCCCCTACCCACCCCCATTCCACTGGGAAGTTGATGCCTTCCAGTAGGGATCATCAAAATCTGTCATGGCATTTGGAGTAGAGTCTAGGCCCTCCCTCCTGTCTCTAGGCTAAGGGAGTATCCCTCCATGGAGAATGTGCTCCCAAAGTTCTTTTGTGCATGAGGGATACATCCTGGTTCCACGGTCAGAGGTCCCATAGACTGCCCAGGCCTTCTAAGACCCATGTTCAGGAGGTCTGAGTCGGTACAAGGGTGGATTCCCAGCTATCAGTATGGGTGTCTATGTGCTCCCACTTGTTCAGGTCAGCTGTGTCTGTGGGTATATGCAGCCTGGTCTTGATCCCTTTTATTGTCACTCCTCCCTCTCTACAACTGGATTTCAGGAGTTTAGCTCAGTGTTTAGCTGTGGGTATCTGCTTCTGTTTCCATCAGCTACTAGATGAAGGCTCTATGATGGCATATAAGTTAGTAATCAATCTCATTATCAGGGAAGGGCATACAACTTAGCCTTTCCACTGTTGCTCAGATTGTTAGTTGGGGTCATCCTTGTAGGTCTCTGGACATTTCTCTAGAGTCAGTTTTCTCTTCAAACCTATAATGGCTCCCTTTACTATAGTACCTCCTTTTTTCCCTCTTGTCTATTCATCCCTTGACTCAGTCTTCCTGGTCCCACATGTTCTCCTCTCCTCAATTTCTATGGCAGGATTCACAAAGTCATGGGAACTATCAACTAGATTTTTCAAGTGGATCATGTAGTATAAGTCTCTCTACTATTTTTAAATTCTGAGAAATACATTTTTTCACTTTGGAATAATTAACACCACTTACCTGCTATTTGGTCCCAACATCACTATTTCCCAGTAAACAAATTCACTGAAACTTCCCTTGACTCTTTTCTCTTTCCATAAGTTTAATTACTATGTGTGATGGGACATCTATAGGATTAGCTGGGCCTGCTGCATTTATCCCTTGCCTTCATCCTTTTTCTGTAAAGTAAATTCTTTACTCAGAAGCAATGGGATGCCATGTCTGTATATAGGCATTGAGTAATTTTTATAGATTATTTTGGAAGAAAAGTGATAGAAAAGTAGGATATAATTGTCTGTTCCAGTGATATTAAACTACTAGCGCTTCCAGTGTCTGGATTCATCATCCTGTCTATTTTTGTTTATAAAATTACACCACAGAATATCGTACTGTTCATAGATCAGGACTGCTCACAGCTGCTCAGATGTTGAAAATCAAGATGATCGCATCTATTGCACTAATAGGAAGTACCTGTAATAACCTCATACTTGCCAGCCTGTCCACCCCTTCCAGGAACAAGCACTGGCATGATTGTAGAATACAAAGATTGACTGGTGTGAGTCACTGGGGCGTGTGCTGTGATTCCAAAATCAAGATAAAATACAACTGCACAAAATCCTATCTACCTAGGCCTGGTTTGAGTTTGTTTCAAAGACATATGACAGCCAAGTTCATACCTGCTGTCATTAAAGCTACGGTGGACTGAAAATACATTTGCTTCATGTTGAGACTCATTCAACGTTACCAATTTATAGTTTTCTTAGTAAATCGATCATATTCAAATAGCTAAAGAAGTTAAGTATGCTGTTACTTCTCACATAATTCAGGCACTAAGAAGCTGTGAATGAAAGATCATGAGTTTGATGTAGCCGAAACAACATGGAGAACTACCTTTGGATTACATCACAAGATTCTGTCTCAAAACAAACAAAACCCAGCCAAATATATGAATATTTCCCCTAAGACACTATGAGTTCAACAAAATCATACGTCCCTCTTAGACCCCAGAGAAGCAAGGCATTGCATTTGTCATTGAAGAGCATTGTCCTGGATTATGGTCATCTAGGACTTGTTTCGTTTATATCAGACCTGATTCTCACTTAGAGCATTCACATTAGACTAAGTATACAGCTACCCTATAATTATGAGTTCATTGGCATACAGCCATCTTTACAGATATCCAGGATGACAGATAATGATATGAACTGAATCTCGACAACCTAAACTACAAAAGCATATAGAGGTGCCTGTAAGGAAGGAAAGTGAAAATCTCTAGTCATCACAAGAAGAAAATATAAAAGACCAACTTGCTTGTAAGAAGATGCTCCTTTTTACTAATAATCAACAAAATATAAGCAAAACAATAAAGATCTAGTCAGTTGCCACTATTCTAGTTTAAACAATATGTGTGTATTCTAGCTTAATTATATATGCATATGTATATGTACATAATGATTTTATAATGTAAGATGTGGGTTACAATATGATGAAATGGGACTCACACACTGGCAACAGAAATATAAATTATGATTGCCCCATGGGAAGACACTTTGGTGGTATTGTTAAAAATATGTAGTGCTGAGGATGAGAATGCAGCCCAGTGGTAGAGCCCCAGCCTATCATACATTTGAGGGCTTCAATTTCCAACCCCTCAGAAAAACTGAACATATGACCCAATTATAGTAAATTTTGATACTGTTCTATGATGACTTACTTGTATACACTCAGATAAATATCAGCATCTTCTTAGGGATTTTTTTAAAAGATAGATTTGTAGACATATCTAGGAAATACATATAAAAATCATAAGTAGATACACTTGGGCCTTCATTTGGTAGATAGTGATCCTCATATTTATTAGAAGAATATGAAGACAAGTGGAAACACAAAAAATGATTCAGAAGTACTATTTATGAGGAAAGCTGATGTTCCCTCCACATCCACCCAGTGAGGAATGTTCCTTGGGGCTATGTGCCCCTTGAGACACAAGAGTCTGGGTAAGTCAGAGCTGCCTGACTAATATTTCAATGGTAGCAGTGCCTGGAGAGTGTTGTCTGGAAAGCCTGCAGTGCACATCATACATCTTATACAACCAGAGTCCTTTGTAGGGACAGGTCCTTCCTGGAGGCCATGCTGTCGTAAAGGAGAGCAACATGGGGTCATTTGGAAAGATGTTCAACAGCAAGAATCGGGTACATTTCCCTTTGGCAATTTGAGAAATAACAACATGATCCTGAGGGCATTGCTCAAGCTTCTTAGGAAACACAAAGATGTAGGCACTTCCATGGCTACAGAGTCCATGGCAATAATTACATGAACTTGGACAAGATATATACTTACATATGTACTTCTTTGCACAGCCTTATGGCCAGTAATAGTAATATGTACTGTACTATTAACCTATCATCTTTAACACCCTCCTCTGTCTAGGTTATATATATTACTTTCTCCTTAAACTATAAAGTCAGATAAATAATATTAAGTATTATTAAATCAATACATTTATAAGGCAAATATGTGAGTTCAAATGCATAGTAATGTTGTTCTTTATAGTAGGGTTTACTCCTAAGTAAGACATTAAATCAATAAATGATAGGTGTCATTAATATTAATGATTTTGATCATTAATATTTATCATTACATAAATATTTAATGTACAGTAATTATTTTCACAAGGAACATAAAAGACCTCTTGCTTTAATACACATTAATATTAGAATTTATGTATTTTTTTAGAATAACTGTTATAAGAGTCTATGTAGCATAAAAAATACAATAATGTGATTCAGTTGCCCTTCCTCAAAAAAAGTTCTATATGTTTTAAAATGTAATCTGCATGTAATTCATGCATTACCTCTTTCTCTGAGGTAAAAATTGCCTTACTTTTCCTTGTACTTTAAATGTTGATTTATTAGATCTGCTATAGCACTTAAAAAATTAATAAGGAAAAATGTTTAATTAAAAATATCTTCCAAGTTTGACAGTTGTGTACTGAAGGGTGAAGCTTAGTGTTCACATTTGTGATTACTCAAGACCAGATTACACTTCAATTTAAAACTCAAGTTCTTACCTTTTTTCTACCATGTCAGACAGGCACTTAAACATTCTTGCCCCCTCTCCTTGTTAGTCTCCTTAAGCATATTCTTCTATGCAAGTGTAACTGGAAAAAGAGATACATTTCACTATGTATAAAAAAAACACACATTTGAGATTACAAAGTGCACATATTGGAGCACAGTGGAAAGAACGTGTACGCTAAACATATTACCAACACTGGCAACTTCCATCAAGTGGAACAAATGTTCTAGAGGGGATTTCCTTACAGCTGAAATGGCTTTTCATTTGTCCTCTTTATTACAATTTATCTAAAGATGTTGATTTTAAAATCCTATTTCTGAATTTCTATCCTGTGCCTCATGAATCCTTTGAGACTGTATTATAGAATGGCAAACAGAATTATCTTCTTTCAAATGAGTTAGATTTCCCACTTCTCTCAGAGTAGAAAGAAATAAGCATATTGTGTTTTCCTTCCAATTTGCATATTTCAAGAAATTATTAAAGGGTTATTGAGTGTTGGGTAAGATGTTTTAAAGTACTATCTGTTTTTCAAGAACTCTTTTTATATTCCAATCCAAGCCTTGTCTCCACTTTTATTACAAATAATATACTTTTTACTACCTTCACCTACAACATTCATGGAGATTTCTTCTTGTTTGTCTGCATTATACAGTTTATCAACTGAGCACATGTTATACATTTATTTTCCTATATTGAAGCAAAATGAGCTAATGATTAAATAAGACCACACTAAAATTCTTTGAAAGAGTATAAGAGTGAACTTAGAATGAGTACTACTTCACATGCAGACTTTTAGCAGAATAGGAGTCAACAAATGATCTTATATCCTTTTCTACATTAGGAGAGGTAAATTTTTAAACTATCTTTTGTATTACTAAATAATTACACAAGATTGTAACCAAAATGCTGACCTATTCCATACATTAAGTCTTATAATACATTTTTGAGCCACTGGAAAAGTTAATTTCTTCATAGAAGTATATAATGGCAAAAAGAAATACTCCACTTTAACATTAAATTTAATAAGACATTACTTTCAAATGCTACACAGTTAAACAATAAGAAAACTGATGAGTTATGAACTAAAAATTTTAATGCCCTCTGTGTAAAGCTTAAATGGTAGCTGTCAGGTTGCTAAACCATCCTATGTGGACATATACAATAGTTCTGTTCATTCTACAATTGTCATTTATTAATTTAAATTAGATGTCTTATAAATTCTCTTATTAAAGCCAGACTTTAATGAAAGCTTCAAGGGTTTAATGAGTGTTTGACAGATTTATGAAGCTGATTAGGGTTGCAGAGAAACAAGCAAATTTCATCAACAGAAAGATGTTCTTGTGGCAACATTTTGTACTTGTAAGATGATAGAGTGAATCAGGAAGGTCAAGTGGATGGGTTCTGACTTGGGACATTCTGACAAGGCAGCCACTGTGTGTTTCCAAATAGATGATTAATGGAATGAATATAGATGTGCTAGAACTGGCCTTCTGCTTGAGCAATGTGAGGTAGTACCTCCTAAACCAGTCAGAAGGAAGAGAACAATTGGTTCATGACTTTAAATGAAAATAGAGATTACTGGGTGATTTCAACCAGTACATTTTATCAGAGTTTCTAATGCTTTGTTACTAATCTGCATAGAGGGGATTTGAAAACGAAGACTCACGAGGAATGGGAAAACCTAAGCAGGAAAGTTTCAGGAAACGATTCAGGAAACTGGGCAACAATGTGTTTATAGAGATGGGCATCATGGCACACGATTTTGTAGTGCTTTGATTAAAAAAGAAAAAATGCCATGGCCAAAATCAACTTGGAAAGAAAAGACTTTATTTGGCTTAAAAATTATAACCCATTATCAGGGGAAGCCACAACAGGAACCTAAGGCAGGAATTAAAGCGAAGACTGGAGGAACACTACTGACTGGCTTGCTTCCCATGACTTGCTCAGTCTGATTTCTTACACAACCCAGAAGCAATTGCCCAGAAGTATCACCACCCACACCAATCATTACTCAATAAAAATCCCACAGACTTTCCTTATACACCAATCTGATGGAGGCAATTCATCAACTGAGATTCCTCTTTGGAGACATGTCTATATTTGTGCCAAGTTTACAAAAACCAACCAGCACATATGGCTATGGTGACATGCCACTGGGTAAAGTCCTTGCTACACAAGCATGAGGTACTCAAGTTAGATTCACAGCACTCATGTAAATAGCCAGGTAATGCAGTATGACCTGAAGTCATGATGATGGGAAGCAAAGCAGGTAGAGGGAGACAGGAGGATCCTGGAATGTTACTAGTAAGATGGCATAGTCAATCCATGAGCTCCAAGTTTAGTAATAGACTGTCTCAAATGATAAAGTAGAACACGAAAGAAGGAGACACCCAACATTGATCTCTATTAGACACAGGAGCACTTTGAAACACAGAGAGATGCAGAACAAAGGAGGAATCACATTTGCAATTACTTTAGGTCAGGTCATATCTGTGTATGTTTTCCTATGATTGTGAAAATTTATAAAGAAGATACTGGGTAAGCATTATCAATTAGTCATCAAAACCAAGAAAGTATGACATTATTTTTCAATAATTACATCTACTTTCTTCAAATTTTATGACTTATGGATTGCATTTTATGATTAGGTTTCTATAATAATTTAATGGAGTGGACACATGTACCTCCAAGTTGTCCAAGCCATTAAGAATAGACTATGCTGTGGGCAATGTAGCAAAGAATTTTTAGTCATTACCCTAAAATTATTATTACCCTAAAAGTCATTATCCTAAAATTTTTACCTCTGACTTCTATTTTTTAACTCAGAGATATGATACTTTGTTGTCTCTGACTTATGTCATAAAATTATGTGACAAATGGCAAATTTTGAATAAATATTTGTTAATTCTACTTTTAAATACTTAATAGCTAAAATTTTCCCGTAGTCATAGTGTCCTACTCTACATGCTTAGTTTAAGCATTGGAAACATAATTCTTTAGATTAGGCTGAATACACATGCACTGAGATCTGCCTGACTCTGACCAACAAGTGCCTACATTAATGGTGTGTGCCACCACAGCCCAGGAGCAGAATTATTACAGGCAAAATTCCTCTTAAAGGCTAACTTTGATAAAAATTGCCAAAATTAGTCATATTATTTTCTATTACTTTCACACTCTTTTTTGTTTGTTTTTGTTCTTGTTTGTTTATTTTGTTTTCGCTTTGTTTTCTCAAGACAGGGTTTCTCTGTATTGCTTTGGAACCTGTCCTGGAACTAGCTCTGTATAACAGGCTGGCCTCAAACTCACAGAGATCTGCCTTCCTCCGCCTCCCTAGTGCTAGGACTAAAGGCATTCACTACCAACGCTACCCACTTTCACAGTCTGAAAGCCAGTTTTCACACTATTTCTGAAAACAGGTTACAGTTTTTTCACTCGGAGTGGATTTGGGTGTCAGCCATGGATTTTCACTATGGTGGCTGGACCAGCATGGAGATAAGGAAGCAAATGCATGCAAGTTTAAAGGATGGTAAATGTAGTATTTGCTCTTCAGGGATGCCTCACTGCTATAGCAGTTTATCCCATTATGAAACATGCACCATGCTGCTATTGTCCAATTCAGATGCTGACCAGCAGTGCGGCCCTCAGCTTTAATAGGTACCATATGATCACTCCAGCTGGCAGGTGACATCTGCTGGCAACGTTCCCAAACAACTCAACAGAAGATTTTCAAATATCAGAGCAAGGCAAAGATCTCTATCTTTCTTAGAAAAAAAAAAGGGGGGGGTTAATATGCATGCATTTGCTTCCATAGGTATTGTTACCTATGCTCTGTTGAGTTCTGTGAAAGAAAAGGGTGCTTGATAATAAAATTCAGAGGGATCATAAAGGGATTCGTTCAAACTGATACAAAAATGATAAGGTATAGGAAACAATTTTATGCTAAAGGCAGAGTTTCACTTCACTATACTTACAAGTGAAAGAAATGTCTAAGCAAAGCTTCAACTAAATGTAACCCAATCCGGATTTAGGTTAGTTGGTTAAGTTATAAAAATTAATGTATACGCATTTATTGAAGAAAGAAACTTTGTTATCTTTTAGTAAAATGTAATTTCACCTTAATTAAAGATCATGAGGTGGACTCTTCATTAGCTTAGCAGGGTTGTGTATCAGAGGACCAGCCAAGTGGGGCTGTCTTGGGTCCCTTGACTCTGATCATAGCATTTATCACTTTCTGACACTGCAATTTGGTGATTAAGAAGATCTGAGAAACCTTCTGCTCATTAGTATTGAAAAAGCACAGTATGAAATATATGCATGCCTTATTAGCATTATATTCTAGCATAAAATATCTGAGTGTAAGTTTGAAATCTTTAACTATAAGCTTAAGAGATGGAAACTCAGATATAATAGACAATTGCCAATCTAGGTAAAAGAGAAAAGTGTATATACCTAAAGGTACAAATCAGTTTCTTTTTTTTTCTCTCTAAGCTTTATACTTTGCCAGTCAAAAATAAAGAAGGCACTTTCATTCTTAGTACAAGACATTTTATGAGACAGTGTCAATGACCATTCTGACACAACCAATTATTTAAGCCTGGGCATTTTGTATAACACAAATTGAATGATATTTTTAATACCTAAACAAAATAGTATTTGGTAACATTGCACATATTGAAAAAGTTTGGAAACATTATGCAGTAATAACACATAATTTCTCTTCTATTGAAAACCCTACAGTAAACTTAAAATATGCCAATGGATTTACTTCTATCTTTAGAGAAGGAAAACTTGTTCTTTAATGGAATAAAAATATTTCAAGTGCTTGCTATAGACTAAGTCTATAGGGAGTTAAAATTGACATGCTGTTATATTGTTTATAGATAACATATCCCTAAATGACAAAAGATTCATATTTATAAACAGTTATATAGACTTTTCACAGTATAATTCTCAAGCAGTAAAATATTATCTTGTTTGGGGAGGGTGCCACATATGGGTTGGCTTGTCAATAATACTGATCCTATTTATTGTTCAGAGCTTTTACAATTACCTGGGTGGAAGCATCAGAGTTTGGGATTT